TTTTTTTTTTTTTTTTTTTTTTTTTGAGTGTTACTCTTTTGATGGAGCCTATGACAAAAGGTCAAGGACACCATACCTGGAGGGATGCTCTTGAAGCCACAGTCTCCAGCAAGCCTATGCTCCCAGGGGCTAGAAGGTGGGAGCTTTGGTGTCCAGGGAAGGTGTGTGATTACGTGAGGCTTGGCTTATCTGGTAGATAGAATGAATTTGCTTCCAAGCCACGTCAAGGGGAAATGGCTTAACCCTCTTTCTGTCTCTGTCTCTTCGCTGTTTTATCTGTGCACAGAAAGGTGATGAGAGGAGTACATTGTTTTTACTAAGCTAATTTTTTCCTGATTATAAAACTAGTACCTCCTCACTGTAGAAAATTTGGAAAATACAGAAGAAAGTAGAAATTAGAGAATAAAATAAATCCATAGTGCTGCTAGCTATAGCTAACCTCCGTTAACAGTTTGGTGACATTTTTTCCCGTACAACATATCACTGTATAAAACTGAGATCATAATATATCATCAAATTCGCATTCTGTTTTTTTCCCGTAGAACTTAGTATCATGAGCACATTCCCAAACCATTCAATGTTCTTATAAATATCTTTTTGATGGCCACTTAACATTAAATCATACAGATGTACCACAAACCTTTTGGTCATTTTGAGGCCTTTAGGATATTTTCAGTTATTTTAAATAATGCTGGGTTAAACATCTGACAGAGCACAAAAATGCTCATCTATCTTTCAAAAATGATTTCTTTAGGATAGAATCCAAGAAAGGAAGTTTATAAGTTGAAGGTTGTAAACATTTAAAGGATAGATAGATGGGCGATAGATAGATTATAGATCGTTGATAGATAATAGATGATTGATAGGTAATAGATGATTAATAGATGATTGAAAGAAAGAAAGATTGTTCTGATTTCCACTCCCCCCACCACATACTCCACTCAGATGGCCCTAATTTTTAATATTTGATTATTTTAGAAAATACACACACACAAAGAATTTTGTTTTGATTTGCATTCCTATTAAAATAATCTTTACAACAGTAAAATAAGTGAATAACAAAATAAATTTGTGAATAAGTGAATGACAAAATAAACTTGTTTTCCAAATATGAGAAGAGACTCTTTTTAGAAAGAGTGGGGCTGCCTGCATCTCATTGTCTTGCTGTCCCTACAGGGCTCCAAGGGGGACGGGAGGCACGCCTGGACCATGAAGCATTTCAAGAAACCAACCTACTGCAACTTCTGCCATGTCACGCTGATGGGTGCTCGGAAGCAAGGCCTGTGCTGCATTTGTGAGTAAACTTCCTTCAAACCCCTTTTCCCAGGAACTGTCCTGCTCTATACATGATTGAGCCATTCTCAGAAAAGTTTAGGCATCTCTGCTTCCTAGCTTGAGGGATTTGCCATATTATTCCAACAGCAGAAAATAAAGCAAAACTTCCATGTCCTATTTTTGTTCTACCCAAGTCAAAGGGACAAATATTATCCTATTGGAGTCTCGTCATAGGCCACTGACTGCCTAGAAAAAAAGTTATTAAGGTTCAAATGTAATTAAAAAGCATCTCATAATAATTTCAATTGAGTTTTGCTAGTGAATGTTTTGGTTGCTCAGAAGAACCTGTTTTTTTTTTTTAATTAATAAGCAACTATATTCATATATACAATGGAATTAAAATTATCCACTTGTTTCACTTTATAATCCATTTAGTAAAGTCAGATTGGAGAGGAGAAAAAAACACACATGGAAAAGGAAGGAGGGAGACTGAAAAGGAGGACAGAAGAAAGAGATGGAAGAGAAGGAAGAAAGAAGGGGTCATGTAGGAAAGAGGGTGGGTTTGCAGAGCAGGTAGAGAAGGGAGGGGCTGCAGCAAGAAGGCTTTGTAGGGCCCAGGGTGCGTGGGTGCAGAATCCTGTCCCCCACCTCAGGATGCAGACAGCAAGCACTCAGCCTGAACCCTCCAGGGACTGGGGAGCTGCTGCTGCAGCGAGGGCCGTCGGGTACGGGGCAGGTCACCAAAATGTTTTATCTGCCATGCACACAGGAGCCAGGCAGCAGGCAACCTCAGCCACAAAAGTCATCGTAGCAGAGCTGGGCCCAGTGTCTACCAAGAGCAAGCATCAGCAGGCAAAAAGTAGGGGCCCACCTGTCTTTCCAGCACCTATTTCAAATCCAGCTCTCACCCACTTTTTATAGGCCCAGCCTCATTCCTAGTACGTTCTAGGCCTGTTGGCACAGTAGTAAACAGTAACAACAGCAGTCATTTGTGGAATAGCTGTTCTGACCCGCACACGTGGTGCTTTATACAAATTATGTAACGCTGCAAATAGAAAGCAATCTTCTTCCCATTTTGTAGAAAACGCTGAATTTCAGAGCGGTGAAGGAACTTACCCTAGATCGTGTGGGTGGTTACAAAGGGTAGAGCCAGAGTTCAGGCCCAGGCCCGCCTGTCTCCAGAGTTAGGAAGACCCCGGCCTTGCTATCCACGCCCCAACATCCTGACATTCAGTACTGTGGCATTGGCATAGCCAGGATGACTCCTCACGCCCCTTAAGTGGAAAGCACCTTTCTGGGGATGTTTTCCAGCTGCATTCACCACCCGCGGTGGAAGGCAGTGTGGCAGGGGGGAGGGTGCAGGAGCATGTCTGGGAGATAGTCATGGACTCTTCTCAGTGAACAACTGGAGACTTGAATTGCCATTAGGCAAGGCCAGCTCCATATGTCCCCTGCCCCTGACTGGCCACGCAGAGGGAGGCACGGGCCTCAGCTGGGGTGGGGGGCAGGGGGATGGCTGACCTTCCCTACGTGGTCACTCACAGTCACTTTCCTTATTTTTATTTTCAGACTGTAAATACACTGTCCATGAACGCTGTGTATCCAAAAACATTCCTGGATGTATCAAAACGAACTCAAAAACCAAAAGGGGCGGTGAGGTTGGTGATACCTATTGCCTTGTTCTCCTGCATGCTGTGTCCCAGGCAACATGTCCATCTCCACAGATTTCTGGGCAGGAAGGGGCTTTGGGAGCTTTATACAGTCCCTTCTCTGCCTTGAGGACCACCCTTAAACCATCTTGTCCATCCATCAGTCCATTTAGCATCTCCCTGGTGCCCACCGTGTGCCAGATCCTGTGCCGGGGGTATGCAGCTTAAAAGGTGGTCCTCAGCCTGGGGGACTGTGCAGTCTAGTGGGAGGAGACAGGCATGTAAGCAAAGCGCAAAGTAGGGAGCTGTACAGTAGCGATAGGGCTGTGTGGGACATACAGTTGAGGCACCAAGGGTGGCAGACAGGGAAGCTTTCACCAAAAAGATGGCATTTGAGTTGTGTCTTGAACCCAAGTCAGCAGGATTTCATAAGGAATCAAGGAGGACAAGGCACCCCAGGCTGGAGAAGCCTCAAGTGTGAAGGCATGGAGACGTGGCTTATTCTCGGATCTGTACTTGGTTCCGTGTGACTGGGATAGAGGATGCTTAGAGGGAAGCGGCGGGAGATGTGCTGCAGAACTGGTGAGATCCAGGTCTTGTGAGGCCAGCTGAGGACTTGGGAAGGGGTTTCATTTGTAGCTAAGGGGCCATTGAAGAGCTTTGAGTACATGAGGAGATGTTTGGGTTTGCAAATTAGGTTAATTGCTCTGACCATGGTGCCAGAGAGAGATCAGATCAGAGGGGATGAAAAAAACTTTTCCAACAGTTCAGGCAAGAGTTAATGCTGCCCTAGGGCCTGACTGGGGTGGGGTCTGCACTCACCCACTACGCTCTGCCTTGTCTACAGTAGCACAGTGATGGCTGTGTCTGTGCTGAGTGAGTGTCCGCCAGCCATGCCGGTTGTTGAGTGTTTTGGCTGTCCCACCGGCTAAGGTGGAAGACATAAAGGGAGAGTCTGAGAGATAATTTGGAAGGTCCTACCACCAGGACCTGGTGACAATCATGTAGGGGATGAGAGAGGGAGAGAGGTTGGAAATGGCTACCAGGTTTCTAAGGTGGCCATTGGCTGGTACCATTCACTGAGTCTGGAAATAGACTCTTCTTTAAATCAGCAGGGGAAAGGCACTCGGAGTTCCTGCAGAGGGAAAACCCCATTGAGGAATCTGAGTCAGGAGATGGTTAGCAGGTGGGAGTGGTATCCAGCCCTCCCCAGTAGGACTCCGAGAGAGAAGGACACCTCCAGGGACACGCATGCATGCCTGTGAGACACCGCGTGGCCTCTTGTCTATTCCTTCCGTACCACGCCCATACGCACACCGTCCCATGTCCATGCCTTTCACCAGGACATATGGTGCACCTCCTGGGCTCAGGCCCTAAGCCTGCACTCCTGCCATTGCCACACTTGGAACAGAGGGAGACCTCTGAGGGACCAGCAGGGCACATTCATGACCTTCTGAGTCTTCAGGGGCAAACTAAGTCTTTAACCATCTCTTCTGATCCTGGAAGAGGATGGAGAAGGCAACGTGGTGTTGGGAGACTACTGTGGACTTGGAGTTAGGAGACCTGGCCATGAGTCCCTGCTTGGCCACTTACCAGCCTTGGAACCTAGGACCAGTTACTTAACCTCTCTGCAGCCTCATATTTTTTCTCTGTAAAGTAAAAATAATAATAATCTCAGAACAAATTCATTGTGACCATGTAGATGACAAATTGATTAGCAAACTGAGTTCTTTATACCCTCAGGGGTGAATGGCAGAAGGAGAAACTACAAAGTAAATGTGACACATCTTCTAGAGCAACAGTTTTACCGAAAATCTTTTGGAAGGAGGACACAGTAACTTAATTGATAAGTAATTTTAAACTTTTATCTAATACAGACATGGATGGTATCGTGCAAATATTCCATGTGTTTTTAATATTGTGCTTGTAGTTGGCACTTCAGGCTACGTCCCCACGTTCCCCCAGAGTCCATATCCACCCCTTCCGCTATTCGGGATACCCTGGTGAAAAATTTTTTGAGGGGTTCTATAGAATTCCTGGGGGACTTAACTGAGGGCTCAGACCCCCAGAATTTGGTGTCATGGGTCGCTTTACACTTACAGTCACACACGTACACATGCATTCACACCTGCTTCCCAAGTTCCTGGGCTGCTTCAGGGGCATGTCCTGGCCAAGAGGCAGGTACAACACGCTCTCCAGGAAACAGATGTGAAAGCTGCTGGCTGATGACCCACAATAATCCCTTTGGGCTTTCTCTCTAACTTCCTTCCTGAGTGCTTCTCAACCTTGGCTGCGTATGATAATCACTCAGTGTGCTCTAAAACATACTAATGATGGGTCTCATCCCCAGAGACTCTTATTTTGTCTGGAGTGAGGGCTGGGCATTAGGACTTCTAGATGCTGGCCAGGTGGTCCTGAGGGGCTGCTAAGGCTGGGAGGCACCGGCCCATAGAAGACAGAGGGGGAAGGGATTCCCCATCAGGGGCACCCCCCAAGGGCCAGGACTGTGCCAGGAAGGCCTTTCCAAATGTGCTGTCTCATTGAATCCTCCCAGAAAACTCAGAGGTGGGGCATTTTATGCCAATTTCTGCAGATGAAGGACCTGAGACTCAGAGAGGTCCAGGAACTGGCCAAAGGTCACCCCACTGCAAAGTGGAAGATCAATGACTCCAACCAGTTTTGTCTGTAGCCCAAGCCCTCCTGTATTTCTCTGCACCCCGCTGCCTTCCAGAAAAGGGCACACACAAACACATCCCTTTGCAAAGAGTTCCGGTGACAGAGAGATGAACTGCAAGACAAGATGCTCAGAGGCTTGACTGCCAGAGGGGGTGAACTGTTCAAAGAGCAGGCAAAGTGGCTTTCCATCTACCTCGATTAGCATGATAGAGGTTAGGTAGGGAGTGACCACACTGGTGCAATGCAGCAAAGCAGCCTGGCATCCAGAAGTGCATCCACTAAACAGGAACCAACCCTCTCTGGCCTCCCCACTCCCTGCGCTCCTCCCAGACCCTTCTTCTCAGGCCCAGGGCCCAGGGCCCTGGGATGTGGTTCTGCAGCCTTCCCTGGTATCCTTCGCTTCCCTCCTGCAGGGGATGCAGCACGCGTGGGTGGAAGGGAATTCCTCTGTCAAGTGTGACCGGTGCCACAAAAGTATCAAGTGCTACCAGAGTGTCACCGCGCGGCACTGCCTGCGGTGCCGGATGACGGTGGGTTGGCGCCCAGGGCAGCCCTGCTGCTTTTCAGTGTGGTTTTTTGCTCAAGCTGCAGCCAGGCAGCAGTGGACATCCTGCCAGAGGGCATGAGCAGAGCTACGTGGGCAAGGCTAGAGAGGGAGCCTAGAGCCCCTGTTCAGTGCCCTAAGTCTAACTGCCTCCAGTAAATCACCAAGATGCCCAGAGAGAGGGCACCCCCCAGGGCTGCTTAACAAGAAGCTGACCACTCTACTCTCTTTGTGGCCAGGCAGCTGTGAACAGCAGGTTGGACCATTAACTTCCTTCGCCTGGGTGTCATCTGGGCCGGGGGCACTGACAGAGTGGGAGAGGAATTAGATACTCAGTCACCTGCATCAGAGGAAGGCACACTCCTGACAGCAACCCCACTGTCTGGACAAGAGGCCTGTGCCCACTGCCATCATCCATGACAAATGTCCACTTCCTCCTTGGACACCTAGAGCTGCCTGACCTGCTTCCAAAGCAGACTCAGTGCCGTGTCTTGTCTCCTTGACTGGGTATCAGCCTCAGAAAGGACTGCAGAACTCTTAAAATGCAGAGGTCGAGTCATGGAGTTTACCTCCAGCCTCTCATGAGTTTGTTCAACAAGATCTCCTTCCTTCCAGTGTCTCAGAGCCTAGGGAGCAAATATCCCATGGGGGCTCTGGAATCCACATGGGGGTACCATACGGACAGGCCACAGGCCTGCTCGGGACCGTTTTGCTCCAGCTGCCATGGGCAGCACTTGGTCTCCTTTCTCTGCCCACAGCAGACTTGGCACCCATAACCAAGCACACACACCAGTACACATTACACACCACACACACACACACACACACACACTCACACTCTCTCTCTCTCTCTCTCTCTCTCTCTCTCTCTCTCTCTCTCTCTCTGCTATACTGTGAAAGCCAGCAGTGCATCAGGATTTAAAGGATCACTAGGCAACCTGCCTCCCTAGTAAATTTCTAAACCCTCATACTTGACATTTCCTTGATCACTTTCACTTAACTCTCATCATTTTTTCCTCCAGTTTCACCGCAAATGTGAATTGTCAACTTTGTGTGATGGTGGGGAGCTCAGAGACCACATTTTGCTGCCCACGTCAATATGCCCCATCACCCGGGTAAGTGCTGCCACCCCAATGGGGCTCTGGCTCCCCTGCAACCCCAGCTCATGTTTCAGATGCAGGCAGCATTCAGACATTCATATCCCTCAGAGGGCTCCCTCAGCAACTCTTAGGATTTGTGTTTTCAGCCCAGGTTTAAAAGAGGTCAGTGCTGCACAGTCAGATTGTGAGGGAAAACTTCCCTGACTAAAATGATTCCAACCGCTGGCCACCCAGAATGCTCTGAAATGGCCCAGCAAGGAAAGCGCATTCATTCTAAGCACCTTGCAGGCAGATCACATATATGGAACCTCAGTCAACACCTGTGCACAGCTAGGCTTCCCAGGCCTCCCTTGTCCCTGTCACCCTCTCTCCTGTGTCCAAACATGGACCTCCCTCTGCCTTGAAGATTTCCACTTGGGTGTCACAGCCCTTCTTGGAAATGAAAGATGCAAAATTAAACTCTATTTATCCCCATCTGAAACTTTTTCTGTCTTCTGTGTTGAAGACCCCTCTTTCAAGCCAAGCACCAAACACCTTAACTGTTCTCTTTCCATGTTAAAGTTGCTGCTGAGTTCCACTGATTCCTCACATCTCACCCTTGACTTGACCATCTTCTTTCTTATTAAAAACTAAAGGAAAAAAACCACCACTTTAAAAACTATTTGGCAGTATCTACTAAGTTGGAAATACACAAACTCTATGATTCAACAATTCCCCTCCTGTGAGAAATACGAGCATTTATTCCACCAGAAGACATGTCCGGGAATGTTCCTATCAACTTTATTCATAACAGTCAGGCACTGGAAACAAGCTAAATGACCATTGACAAGAGAATAGGTAAATAAGTTGAGGCAGATTAGTATAATGGAATACTGCATTGCAATGGAAAACAACCATGCTTAGATGCAAAAATATGGATAATCCCAGAAATATAATGCTGAACAAAAGAACCTAGACTCAGAAAAGATATGGTCTATGATTCCATTGATATGAAATTCAAAAGCCAGGCAAAACCAATAAGGTTTCAGGAGTCACAACAGAATTATGCCAGAAGAGGCAGTAGTTACAAGGGCATATACGTATGCAGAAATTCACAGAACTGTAGATTTAAATTTGAACATTTTACTATATGTGACATTAAACCTCAATGAAATGAATAATAAACATTGAAAAAACAAACAAACAAAATAGGACATATGACTTCGTATTGCATCATTTAGGTAGTGCTTAACAGAGAAACCAGATCTGAGACCTTGCTTCTCAAAGCTCAAGCTTCTAAATCAACAAAGTAGATTTCTGCCCATTTCAGTGTTTCCTCTGAAACACTGTGTCCCTTCCAGTGTCTCGGAGTTAAAGTCAGGGCAAGTGATGACAACTGCCTGGAGAGTCCTTGAGAAAACCAAAGGGAACATTTCTTTTTTTACGTCCAAAGTCCCACTTTGAAAAACTCCTCCCTACACTATATTGGTTTTCTATTCTCTTCCTTTATATTAACCATTTGTTTTTCTTCTGATTTCCTTTTTTGTAGTAGGCATTTTTTTTTTCAAAAGGTGCTTGTCTTTCCTCTCTTTTATAGGACAGGCAAGATGGGAAGTCTGATGGTAGCATGTCAGCCAAGGATGAACTTGTAACTCAGGTACCTCAGCAAGCCCCAAATCCACTCACTCGTTCTAAGCTGGTCCAAAGCTGTGGCGGGGAGAACAGGATTTGGCTTCTAGAGAAACACATCTCAACATCTGCTTTCTTATCTGATTGATTATATCACACAGGACACTGTATTTCCAGCCTCTGGGGTTACCTTTGACAACCACACTGTAGGCAAGTGGTGTGAAGGGAGGTTGGTTGATCCCGTGGCAGGCCGAACTGGCTCTATCACCGTTTTAGGAACACATTGCATAAAACCTCATTATGCATACTCCCCGAATAATAACAAGAATGTGGCTTAAAGGTAGACAGTTAGGTTTTCCAGGACTGCCAAGCTGTCTGCAGAATGTGATCTGCCAGAACCGAGTTAACTAGATCCAAAATTTCTTCTTCATCCTTAAATGTATATTTCAGAACTCATTTTTTTTTAGCTGGATTCACCAATGAACTTCTCTTTGTGCCTTTCACAACGTTCCAGGGAATGCAGGAAAGGCAGCCTGGTGAGGTAACAAGTGCCGGAAAAGGAAATAGCACACTGGGGCCTTCTCCTCTGCCTCTGAACCTTAAGTTTCCTTGTTTGAAAGGGGGCATAGCAATCCCCGCACTGCCCACCTCCCATCGATGCTCCAAGATTCAATGAGAACACATAGATGAGTGTAAAACATAAGCAATGGTGCTTAATGTGGGAAAGCTCTAGACACCTTGAAAGGGAGAAAGTCAGATGGAGCACGCGCGCGCACACACACACACACACACACACACACACACACACAGAGCGCAGGTATGTCAGTTGTTTACAGCTGGCATCTATCTGATTACCCTGCATCTCTTCTGCTTGGGCAGTGCCCGTGCTGTACAGGTTGTTAAACATTTTGAATATCACCCCCAGAGATAAAGAATTACTCCTTAAGCTCCAAGGTGCTTCTGGGTTTCACACAAATAATCACCCTTGGCAGATGAGAAAATTCCTAAAATTTATAAAGGATGCTGCTGTCCGTTTCAAACAATATGGCCCTGTGTTTGGTGAATTTTTAGCTTGCGACCTGGAAAAGTAGGCATTAGATAGTGAATATGGAGCAAAGCTTCATCTCTGTATCGGTGTGTCCTTCTGCTGAAGACACAGGTATTAATATTGAGTACCCACTCTTGTATCTGGGGCAATGGGGCCCTTGGTAGAAAGGTTATACACACACACGCCCTGCTCCTGAGGCATTAAAATCCATTTGATGTTTTGTGATATTTACCTGAGAAAATAAAAAATAAAGGCATATACAAATAAATGATAACAAAAGAAACCCAGAAGATATTATTGGGTTGGCCAAAAAGTTGGTTCTGGTTTCTCATAAGATCTTACGGAAAATCCCGAACGAACTTTTTGGCCAAACCAATATGTGCTTCAAGTGCAATAGCTTTTGTTGCAATGATCAATGAATTGGGCCCTGAGAATGAGGAGTTCTTTTTTAAGAGGTTGCAAAGAAGGAAGTGGGCATTTCAGGAGGAGAAGAAACCAGTGTGAGCAGCCCCAAAGGGTGGGAATTAACTCCCTAGAAGTTACAAGCCAGGCTTGGCTGGAACTGCAGTGAAGGTTAGAGTAATTAAGAGAGAACAGTAGATTGGGGCTGCACTTAAGTGCCTTGCATGCCAGCTTAGGCGATCTGGATTTTATCCTCTGGGTAACGAGACGTCTTTAAAGGTTTCTGAGCAGGAGTGATGTCCTGGGAAGGAACTGCATGGGGGCAGCATACAGGGCTTCCCCTGAGGTGGGCAAGGCCCGAGCAGTGTGGGCGCTGTGGCAGCTGCCGGAGATAAAGAGACATTCCAGGGAAAGAATTGGCAGGACAGGGTCTTCCCTGTATGACTGGATGAATAATAACAGTAGCCAGGAGAGAGGGCCAGTTTTGTGGGGAAAGAAGGTAGGTCAGGTTTGGAGCATGTTCTGGTGAGACATCTGGCTGAATGTACCCCCTGGACAGTGAGAAATGTGGAACCAGGGCTCAGGAGGAAAATGGGGGCTGGAAATGTGGATATGGAAGGTACTGGAGTGGAAGTATAGTTAACTCCATGGCTGTTATTTTATTTAGGTGTAGGGCCAGATGGCCCTAACTTTTAAGATCATAATCAGTTGTATCCCTCACAAAATCTAATCTTGTGCTGTGGGCACAATGCCACACCATTGTGAATAATTTGAAGTTGTGATGCCACTGCCCCATCTCTGATCCCGACTTCAGACGCTTGTCACCATTAACACTACTTAAAGGCCATTAGGCTGGAGACACTTAGCTGTTTAATCCCTCAGAAAACTCGGCCAGTGGACCAGCACCTACTGCCTCCTGACCTCCTCTCCTCCCTGCCCGGAACTGCTTCTCTCCCGGGAGCTGTCTTAGCATCCACTCTCATCGCATTCCTCCTATTGGCTGAAACAGAGCTAATTTCTTTTTCTTTTGCCTTTTAAGTATAAGATCATCCCCACCCCGGGTACCCACCCCCTGCTGGTTTTGGTGAACCCCAAGAGTGGAGGGAGACAAGGAGAAAGGTATGTTCTCTTCTTTTTCGAGATGGAGAGGCTAGGCCAACCGTAACCAAGTGGGCTGTGGACATGGCAGACCTGTGGCCCAATCCCAACCCTACCACAGACTGCTTGATGACCTGGTCCAAGGGACTTAATGTCCTTGTGCCTTGGTTTCCTCCTCTGTAAAACGGAGGTAATAATCATTTCTCCTCCCACAGGGGTTTCGTGAACAATTAAAATAGACACAGTGCTAGCCTACGGCCTGTCACGTGGGCCATTATTATGGTCCCCAGAATCAGACCAAGTTCTGAGACGTCCGTTAACTTCCCAGCCTTGCAAGTCTTTTCTTGATTTAAGAGACATGGCAGAGGCACCTGGTTGAGACTTCCTGGCCTATCCCACCCTTGAGAAAGCAGGGCACCCGTCTCATCAGTGAAAGAAACGCCCAGACAGTGGGAAGCCCCAAGAGAAGGGGAGGGGAGGGGTGGCAAGGGGCAGAGCAGCTCTGCCTCCCAGTGTTCAGCTCTGGGGCAGTGAACAGATGGCAGGGTGATCTGGAATCCAGGTTTTAAAAAATAATAAGCAGGGTTTAAGCAAGAATTATGAGCGCCCCCACCCCAGTCCTAGGGGCAGAGCACGCCTCCTGAACTGACCTGATTAGCCTCAAGCTGGAGCCTTGAAACCAAGCCTAGATGTGGTCACTGCCCCCAGCCCTCCTCTGCCCCAACCCCAGGTCCTGCGTGTCCTCCTGATCCCAGGATTTGGGTGACCTTTCCATAGAGGGTCCCTTGGTGCCTTTGTCTAGCCCACAAAGAGCAGAATCATACTACCTAGAACATACAGAACATTTGGGAGAAGGTCTCCATGAAGGAGGCGGCTTTAGGAGAATGGAAATTCTGTTCTCCGGGTTGCTCTGTCCTGTCCTCTGTGCAAGGGGTGCTACTCCTGGGGTTGGAGACTAGAGTCCTGGATGGTGGGGAAGACCTTGAAATGGGGTGAGGGCATGGGTGAGGCCAGCCAGACCTGGGACTTCAGGGTCTGCAGGGCCTGCATGCACTCTTCTCGCCTCTTGGGTATAAATGCACCCACGTTCCCACCATCAGTGGGCTGCAGAGGTACTTGCCCTCCTGTGACTTCTCACAATGACATTCCCCTTCTCTGTCTCGGTCTCTCTCTCTCTCTCTCTCTCTTTCTTTTTTTTTCCGTAGAATTCTTCGGAAATTCCACTATCTGCTCAACCCCAAACAAGTTTTCAACCTGGACAATGGGGGGCCTACTCCAGGGTATGGAGATACGATCTTTACTTCTTATTTCTCCCCCACGCCCTTAGATCTCTAAAGAAGATAGCTTTTGGGGTCACTTTTTTTTTTTCGTCTCTTTCATCGGTGGACTTGTCCTTCCTGCCATTTCACTCCTTTTCTCTTCTTTTCCTCCTATCTACTCTTACTTCCTCCTGGAGATACTCAGGACCACCCATTATGGCTAACTCTGGGAAGTAGCCTCCTGTACTTTATCCCAGAAAAAGTTGTTGATTTTGTAAGAGGGAGAAATTGCATATGTCATTTGTTGGCTTGACAAGAAGGGCGGGCTGGTAGATTTTAACTTATTTGCAAGGCCATATTAGCTGGTATCTTCATACTGAATTATCAGGGAGAAGGAAAGAGTTTTCTTACCACTGTCTGTCTGTGTTTCAGAAATCTGTACAGCTGACTCAGAGTTCCACTGCATGTTCTGTTGTGGGGGCCTTTAAGGATCAGGACAATTGGTTGTTCAATGAAATCACTTTTTTCCTGAATCATCCAAGTTAGAGGTTGTCAAGCTCCCCCGGCCCTTCTCCTCCTGTCATTTGCCTATTGGCTATTTCCCTGCTCATCAGCAAAGTGTCAAGGAGACAGGGAAAAATGAGAGGAGACAAGGCAGCCCCTCTGCAGCTCAACCCAAGGTCTACGGGAGGAGCTGGTCCTTGTGCTGGTGGCGGACATGATGAGCCCTGTAATCAGAGGCCCCTCCAGCATTAGGGCTGGAAGGTACCCAAAGACTGGTACCTTCTTACCGGCCAGAGACAGTGCACTAGAGACACCTGCCAGCCGGCCCAAAGCTATCTCAGTGCCAGGTCCTCAGACTTGCACCTGCTAGGCTGGGCTTTCCAACACACAGCTGCTTTGCCCAACATCTGAACCTGCATTTCTACTCTGGGCTCAGCAAGACCTTAATAGGGGCTGGAGTAAGGACTGTAAAAAGGAACTCTGTCCCTGTCTTTGGTTTGACACAAAGCTATTATTAATGGCAGGGTTGGTGCAAGACCCACTAAAGGGGAAAGAAACATGAATGTAGATTCAGCACCTCTGCCGTGACTTACCTGTAAAACTAACTTCAAAATAGAGTCCACCCGTACGGCTGCGCGTGCCATCCCGGTCACCATGATTGCCAGTTACTGCTCCATTGTGACTTGTGACTGAGCAGGAGCCCACAAATACCTTTACCAGCTGGCTCTCTTTTAGGGCATTTTAATACTTGAATACAGACAGTACTCACTTAACTGCATCTATTCTCAATTGGTTTTGCCCAGGATGACAAGCCTGGTGGCTACTTCTAGAGCCACTGTGCCCTGAGTATCTCTCTGTGCTGTACATGTCAGCCTGTAATCAGACAGGCTGTCTAGCCGAAGGGAGCCTCCATTCAGAACCCACTTCATGCAGGAGAGCAGAGTTCTGCAAGAGAAAGAGAGGGAAGGGGATGGTAATTTGCCCATGCATACATTGGTGACTCAGAAGGGGTATTCTCAGATCACGATGCAGGGCAAAGAGGAAATACTGAGCTTCAGCGTCTCAAGCCCCACCTCAAGGCCTCCGCAGGTCATGTCTGTGCTAAAGCAGAGATTCTTAACCTTTTTTGCACCAGGAACCTATTTGGCAGTCTGATGAAGTCTACGGACCACTTCTTAATATTAAGATAATAGTTTTTAATGTATAAAATGAAATATGTAGGAGTAACAGGGAAACTCATTATATTGAAAAGAACAGTTATCAAAAGGTAAAAAACAAATTTGTGATAGGAGAATATATGTGATTTACTAAGTCATTATATACCAAGTTCCAGAGAAAGGTCTAATAGCTATTGTAGATTAAAAGCAGCGATGAGCAGAAGTGATATAAAATATCTGCCACAACTGTAGTAAAACATCGAAATACCTGTGATTTGGGCTGCTTAACAAAGTCACAGGTATTGTTAATACTTCTGTGATTTGTGGCCTACATACATAATTGAAGGAAATGCTAAATTTCACTTAGAGCTTAGGGAAGTTAAGAGTGTAACATTTTCTTCCAGTTCATGGCCCTCTGGATTCTACTCCCAGACCCCTTAGATATGCCCTTCAGGTTAAGAGCCCTGCTCTAAAGGGTTAAGACCCCAGAGGGGAGATGGTGCTCACTCCACTTAGGTCTGGGTGGGATGAAGATCCAGCCAGCTCAGTGCATCTGACTTAAAGGGGAGGTCGTGAGGACAGAGCAGGTGAGAGAGCTGGAGAGGAGTCAGAATGCTGGGGGTTAGTTGTATCAGTGCCAAAATAAGCAAACTATGGATTCCTCTGCCTAAATCATAGAGAATTTCTAGAAAACCATTTTCTGTGTTGAATGTTGAGTCAGCATCTCCTTATACAAAGATGGCTCCACGGGATTCATACTCAATGGCATTGCTTAGTTAAGTTCTGGTTTCATAACATTAAGTGACCCTTTCAACCCTAAAAGGAATCAAGGTCATAACATACTCCCAGGGAAGGGAGCGGGCGGGGGACTCTGACTCAAGCAGTGTCAAAGTTCAGCTTGTAAACAAAACCATTTTGGTCTTTCTACTTCCAGACTTAACTTTTTCCGTGATACTCCAGACTTCCGTGTCTTGGCCTGCGGAGGAGATGGGACAGTTGGCTGGATTTTGGATTGCATTGGTAAGAATGGGCTGGAAGGGCCTTTGCAGTTGACTTATCATAAATATATTTAAAGTCAGAGGAAGGCAATCAACAAGAAAGAGAAATGTTTTGTTCATCCTTGTTTCTACTCTTGGACCAGTGCTTGACTAAATATCTACTTTGGGTGGAAAAAAGAATAAAAGAAGATAATGGAAGGATTCCCACTAGTACAGCTGTAACAGCTTAGTTTCAGGCCTTGCTTCATAAATAGCTGTCATGGCCGGGGTTTAGGCAGTTGCAGGACCGGCCAGATGGGGGGTTGCGGGGAAAAGGAGCAGGGCTGGGACTCCACGCAGGTCCAGGGTGCTGGATAAAGGCCAAAGAACTAAGCATTGATGCATAGCCCGGGGCAAGACACCCTGAGAGAAACACCTGCAGCTGGAGCCCAGAAAGCACATCTAGAAAGCACAGATGAACGCAAGCAAAGAAGCGCCACGGTGGGCTGTGTCCAATATGCCGAGATCCAAAAGGCTATAGGGAGGGTAGGGAGGGCCCAGGCTGGGTATCAGGAGGCGTGGGTCTAGTCCAGCTCTGCCTGGATCTGTGGGTCCTTGGACACAGCACCACCAGTAAATGATGGAGAATGATTCTGAAATTCTGGTACAAGGGGTATATTCAAGATCTAACCCTGCAGCACCCAGATAAACACTGGGACATGGGACTTAAGCATAGGAAAGCAGCCAGGGGTATTGCTGGGGAGGGCTGTCATCAAAGTCCGAGATGACCCAGAGCAACAAGCGCTGCGCTGCTTTGGTCTTTTCGTCCTTCATTCCCCAAATCCTACCTGTGCACCTCCAGATGCCCAGCGCCCCTCAAGGCACTGGTGATGTAGCAGTGAACAAAGGACAAATATCCCACTCTCACGTAGTTTCCGTTCTAGAGGGAAGAGACAGGCAATAAACAAAGAAATAAGTGAAACATACAGTGTGTCAGAAGGTGATAAAAACATAGCAGAAAAGGGGGAAAGGGAGCTCGGCGGAGGGAGTGGGGTTGCAATCTAAGACCAGGTGGTTCCGAAGGCCTTGAGGAGCAGATGACATTCGCATGGAGACCTGGAGGAGGGTGAGCCTTGCGGATACCTGAGGGTGGAAGGGACAGCAAATACAAAGGCCCTGAGGTAGGAGCAGGCCAGGCTGCCAAAGGCAGTGGGAGCGTGCTGGGGTGTAGTGCGTGAGGGTAGAGTGGCAGGGGATAAAGCAGAGATAATGCAGGGCCAAGTCACTAGGACATGTAGGACATATGGAGTGTGGCTTTCATACTGGGAAGGTCCCAAGATGCTGGATGGTTTTAAGCAAAGCAGGGACACAACAGATTACAGAAACAGAAAAGGGTGGAAGCTGGGAGACCAGTTAGGAGGCTCCTGCAGTAATCCAAGGAGGGGGACTGTGCCATGGACCACAGTAGTGACAGAGGAGGTGGTGAGAAGGAGTCAGATATCTTTTGAAGGTGGAGCCTGCAAGATTTGCTGACAGACTTCATGTGGGAGATGAGGGAAAGGAAGGAGTCAAGGATGGGCCAGGATAGACCCTGAACAGGGTGGAGAAACCTGGGCCCCCAGGGGTCGTAAGCAGACCACCTGGAGGAGGGGGACCGGCACCCCGCACACCTGCCACATCTACTCCCCCACAGGCGCTTTGGTTTCCATGGACACAGCCCTGCCAAGCAGGCACCCACGCTCTCCTGTCACCTCGGGCTCTGGAGTTGTTTGTGGGAGGAGGGAGGCGTCCTCTGGGAGCCGAGGAAGGAGAAGCTGATCAGCAGGGGGTGGATGGCTGCAGTACCTGGAGCTGCTCGCACGGGTCCCTCTCCATTGGGAAGGAGAAAGTAGGCTTTGCTGATAAGTTTTATAAAATTCAGAGGACACAGGTGATATACGCTTCCCAGAACAGAAAGGTCATGTGAGGTGATCTGCTCTTTCACAGGTTAGTGGCCCAAAGATTAAAAAACAAGGGTAAAAGGAGTAACTGCACAGTTTTCATTCATTCAAGAGAGAGAGGCTGAAGCCCTTGTTCTGTGCTCTCTGCCGCCCCATTTCAGTCCCCTCTCTGATGTGCTGTCCTGCTACAGCCAGAGTGGTCATTCCTGAATGTCAGTGGGGTTGTGATGTGTGCAAAGCACATCAGTGGCTTCCCAGGATTCTTAGATAAAGATAAAAACTCTTCAGATGCTCCACAGGGCCCTAAGTGGTCTAGCAGCTGCCCACCCAGCCTCATTTCCTACCGCCATCCTCTCCCTCTAGACCCAGACACCCAGTCCCTCTCTCAGACCCTTGAAGGCACCAGTGTCGCTTCTACCACAGGGCCTGTCTGTTCTGCTCCCCTGGCCTTCTACTTCAGATTTCAGCCAAAGTGTGGCTTCCTCAGGGAAGCCTTCCCTGATAACTCATTACAGGATCACACTCCTTTCCTTCCCATAATCTGAAATTATGCATCATTTCTATGAAGACCTTGTTAATAGCTGTCTCTCCCTCTCATCTGTAGGTACCATGAGAGCCAGAGCCGTGGCTTTTTTGCCTGCTATTAGAGCCAGAGCACCTAACACGGCACCTAGGCCTTCAGTAAATATGTGTGGAGATACTGTGGCGAATGAGATATAGTTCCCCCAGGGAGGTTACAGGACATTTGGGGAACATCCCCCAGGGAGGTTACAGGGCATTTGGGGAAAAAACAAGTAGTCAGTTACAAGAGAGTGTGATGAGATCACCCCTGGTACTAAAGAAACACTCTGGAGAGGAACCAGGTCCAGATTAGGGCAACCAGGGAGGGCTCTGTGCTGAGCAACAGAGAGCTTGTGATTTAAGGCCCTGAAAGCACTTCAGCAAGGTTGACATGTCGAGTGGGAGGCAGGACGTGAGAAGGATGAGGCTAGAGAGAAAGGCAGAGCCAGGAAGGGCTTCGCTGCGTGCTATGGGGTGGTGGGAGCCATGGCAGAAGGGAAAGCAGTGGACTAGTGTGATCAGGCTCATGGTTCAAGGATTTCCTGCCTGGGTAGAAGTGTGGGGAACACACCAGGGCGTGGAACTGGAGGCCGAGAAGGCAGAGAGGAGGCTGCTGCAGCAATAGCAATGGGAAGGAATCATACCGTACCAGAACTCAGCCATCACCACGGGATGGAGAGGAGAGATTGCTTGGAGAGCTATTAAGGGGACAGCATATAGAAACTGATGTGTAAATGGATGTGGGACAGCATATAGAAATTGGTGTGTGAAGGAAAAATCTAGAATGACATCCAGGTTTCTAGCCTCAACACTGTGAGGATGGTTGATCTGCTGGGATGGGAACCACAGAAGGAAGAGGCAGACCTAAGCAAACAAGGGCCTTCCAGGCAAAGGGAAGAGCACATGCAAAGGCAGGGAGGCATAAACGTGGACTGTGTGTTCTGGCAAGATGAGAGGGTCCACTGATTTACTCCACATCAACCCTCTTGGTGGTAATCTCAGCCCTAAGTCTTGCCTAAGCTCAGCCACTTCCGGCATGAGTCTGATTACCTGGGGCATCTGTGAACACCTGTTCTGCTGGGGCAGCCCTAGCATGAGCTTCACGCAGGATGCTGATTCTTGCATCACTCCCCACTCAACCCCCAGCCATGCTTCCCAATCACATCCCTCACATCCTCCCCCGGCACCTGGTGCACTGAGGTTTATGTAAGTGGTGTCCTCCAGAGCCCAGTGGGTGTCTGGCTTCCTTCAACTTTTCCAGCTCAGCCAACATGCTGCTGTAGACCTACGGCCAGATTAAAACATACATGCTCTGATGTGCTTTCTCTAACAGTTCAGTCTGATGCTCCTTTACAACCATCATGGGAGACAGGATTAGGAGTTGGTGTGTTTGCAGGTCTGGGAGGTGGTGGAAGTGGCAAACTGGTACCCGGGTGTCAAATAACACCTGAGGGTTTTGCTTATTAGACACAGTGTTATTTTTAAGCTTCTGAGCCTGAATGACTTGAGGCGAGGTATCTTCAGTATTCCAAGTGCCCCACCATTTTCTGATATCTCAGACCCACCTGTTTTACTATTTATGCACCTGCCTGGCCTCTGAAGAAAGGAGGAGCATGGACTTGGAGCCACAGAGATCTGGGTTTGGATCCTGGCTGTGGAATGACTTTCCCTCTGTGAACCTCCATTTCTTCATCCATGAGAATGATAATACCTTGCAGGGTCTGTCTGAGGGATAAATGGGGTAAATGCTACTTATCATTAAAGATTAAAACTGTGCAAACTAATGTTTTTGAGCTATATGCTTTCACCCCAAAGGAAAGAATTAGGATGAAATGAGGATAAACAGGTGAAAGTTACAGGGAGACAGATTTAACTCAATTTGAAAGATTCCTTTGCAGTGGTTAACATACTGCAGATGGAAAAGATGGCTTTAGGAAGTAGTGAGTTCCCCATCAGGAGAAGAATTCAAACAAAGAATGCTATGAGGGCTTCAAGCATTAGATCAGGGATAACTAGACAACTTGAGCCTTCTATAATCACATGGCATATGGTTCTCTCTTCCTCTTCATGGGTTGCAGATAAGGCCAACTTCGCAAAGCATCCACCCGTGGCTGTCCTGCCTCTTGGAACAGGAAATGACCTGGCCCGCTGTCTCCGCTGGGGAGGGGGTGAGTCTGCATGGGAGAGGCCTTACCCTGGAGACGAGTGCTCCAATCTACAGGGAGGCTCTGCAGAGCTAGGCTGAACTTCCCTCTTAGGGATCACATTCCACGGAGTAATACTCAACCCTGGGATCATCTCTACTCCACACATTTTCTTTAACCTCCATTCCATGCCGACGCCTGTGTCTACCCCTCACTAGATTTACTATCAGCCTGAAACTCAGCTTCGAGTCTGCCTCCCCCAGTAGAACAAGGTTCCAGGGTTCATCCCAGTAGGGGCTCACTTAGGGATTTTTCTGCATGAAATTCCCCCTCCCCAAATTATTGCTCTTCTGAATTAGGATTCAGAATGCAGACCGAAAAGCCACTTCGCCAGCTACTAGGGGCATCCAGATCATCTTAGGGCCCCATGGCCAGGGGCCCTCATTTTGAAATTCACCTAAGGGGGGAACTCAGAATGGTAGCCAGCTTACAGGGCAATGGGCAGGAGCTAAGGAGAATTTTGCAAACTGCAACAGCCCCCGTGGAGCTGGGCGTGCTCCAGAGAGTGGAGAGGTTCAGGTCAGCACATGGAACAGACAGATCAGCCTGGCAGGCAGAATTGGAGTGAGACTCCACGTGGCGGATCAATTCCGAGCGTGATCCAAGACCAGGCCGGCAGCGGTCAGTGTGCATGCTTGGAGGGCAGGGGCAGAGCAAACAGGAACCAGCCCTAGAAGGAAGTTGGCAGGCATGGGCAGAGCTCCCAGGGTCCTCAACCACACACTGGGCTAGGGAAGGACCCTCTTTTCAAGAGGGGACAGGCAGACTTGTAGCCCCACACTCTGGGCATCTAGGCAGCATAGCGAGGCACACATTTCACACAGCCTTGTGCTCCCAGATAGCATCAAGGCCCTCAGCTACCTTGTTGGTATCATTGCTGTCTTGTGAGGCATCCCCTAAGGAGCAGACAAGAGCCCTGACAACTTGAAAATACTCTTCAAGGTTGTACCAGAGGTAAGCAGGAGCGTGGAAGTGTTATTTGAAAGAAAAGATTGTCTCTCCCACTAACTTCTCACTTACAGTTCACTTGCTACATTAATTTTCTATTGCTACTATGTAATAGTAACAAATGATTATAAACATAGAGGCTTAAAACATCCATTTATCAGCTCAGAAGTCCCGGAACAGCGTGACTGGGTCTTCTGCTCAGGGCCTCACAGGATAGAATCAGGGCACTGAACAGGCTGCGCTCCTCTCTGAAGACTCTGGGGGAGGATTTTGTTTCTAAATTCATTCAGGTTGTTGGCCAAATTCAGTTCTTTGTGGTTGTAGAACTGAGGTCCCTGTCTCCTTGCTGGTTGTCAGCTGGGACCACTCTTAGATCCTAGAGGCCTCCCGTGTTCCTTGCCCGATGGATCCCTCCATCTTCAAAGCTGGCAGAGGAGAATCCCCCTTACTTCCAATCCCTCTCAAGCTTCAAATCTATTTTTTTTTTTTTTTTTTTTTTTTTTTTG